AATCCTTGTCCAAATCAATTATCACTGGAGGTTGTGAAACGGTGATTTTCTAATTACATCATTCCAAAAAAGTTAACTTCCAAAACTTCTAAGAAACGTTTTCAGGAAAAGTCATTTTTCTAATTTTATGACACATTTTACTTCCATTTATAACTTTTAAATAACTGATGCCACCTAACCACATAATTATAATCTCCTATTTCTAAAGCATTTTTTGCTACCTAAAAGTCGCTTGCTTTATTTTTAAACAATGTTTCAACTGCAAAAGTAATGTGTCACTGTCACAGAAATGTCAGGCCATTCAGAAGAGTACGTCTCTCCTCTCTCTCCCCCAACAACTGGTCCCACTCCCAAAGGATAACCACTGCTAAGTTTCTATATCCTTCCAGAAAGCACACACGTCATACATAAATGTATATACATCATGTTTATATACATACAGTATATAATTTTTTAAAGAATAAATGAGATAATACTATACATACTTCCCTGTGCCTTGTTTTTTCCCATAACACTGAGTGGATAGCTGCCTTAAAGGACAACTCAAAACTTCTCTTTTTACCAGCTGCATAGTACTCCTTAGCGGGAATGTGCTGTAATTTAACCAGTCCCTTTTTGATGAGTATTGCAACTTGTTTCTGCTGCAAGAAATATTGCTATCTATATAATGTAGCATGCTAGTGCAAGTACTTCTGAAGGAGAAAGTCCAAGAATTGAGACTGCTGGATAAAAGAGTAGGATAGATACATTGTATGTTTTTCTAGGTATTAACAAATGGCCCACCAAAAAAATTACAATTCTCCTCATCCCCACTAACTGTATCCTAATGCATCTTAAAGTTACAGACGCCTCTACTGAACGAGCCGCAAGCAGCAAAGCTGGCCAAAGAACCACAAAGTCTAAAGTGAGAATGAGAACCAATATTTACCAAGTGTTGAAGTACCAGACACTGCACTTGACCTTTATAACACCTCAGTAATACAGTAAGCCTGTGAGGTGAGTGACATTGCCTCCATTTTTGAAAAGAGGAAACTAAGGCTCAGAGAGCTTACCCAACCTTATACAGCTATAGAAGCAACAAAGGCCAGCATTTGAACCCAGGGGCTCTGATACCAAAATGAGACCATATGGGGCTGCCCCAAACTGGAGCCAAAGTGAAGGGCTCTTAAAAAAATGAGGGCTCGTGATTAATCAGGAAGAGGGTAGTTCTGAAATGTTTGCAAACAGGCTCAAATGTTAATTTCATGCTACTACAAAAAGTCATCTTTTCCCCTCACAGACTCGGCCGATGAACCCACTCTCAGGCTGTGCTTAGCAATCCAGCTCCAAGCAACACTGCGCTCCCAGTGCACAGAACCTGGAGGGGCTGACCAACACGCACTTGGAAAGTTGATAGGCTGGGAGGAGGGTGGAGCAAGAAGCAGGTGGTAGGCTAGCCTGGCCAAGTTAGATATTTTGGACTCATATCAGTTGTCACAAAAATATTATGGGGGAAGCGGAACTACTGTACACATGAGAGAACCACAACTAACTGACACAGTCTGTTTATACCACCTTTCCCTGCCTCAAATGCTTGCTATTTCTGCTGCACAGACATGCTAGGTCCAGTAACTTCAGGACAGCACTTAATCACGTACAGAGGCAGACAGCAGGGAGCTCCCTGCCCTGACAAAACAGGTTAGGCTGGTGCCAGACAAGCGCCTTGCCTGCTGTGGTGCAGCTCCCATCGCAGGGTCTAGGGGCTGCTTTCAACTGCCCTGGACACTCAGGTCTGTGGTCACCTTCCCTTGTAGCTGCCTGGGCTTGCTGGCAGGGAGGAATGCTTATAAGTGTCCTTTAGTGGGAGGGGAAGTTCCTTCCAACTTAAATGTTAAGCATTCACAGTGTCTTATTGTCGCTAGGTCCTTTGCACCCAAGCAAGTGCTTATTATGGGATCTATTTGTGCACATTACTCCTGATGTAACATCAACCTTTCTTTGGGGATAACAGAATAAAAAGGAGGAGAGAGGGAGAGGAAGGAAAATCTCTTCCCCTTTGCCCATTTTCTCTCCATTCCAGGCACAGGGCTCCAGAAGTTCCATGGGTATAGTCAACAACTGAAAGGTCACAGAAAATTGATAACACTATGCGATTTAAATAGGGAGAAGTGGGCGTCGAACTGGATGATTTGAGGAGCATCTTAAAATGCCATCACCAATACCAGAGAATGGAGGCACGGACACACTATTGGGTGATTCCACCTCTGTAGTTCAAAAATTGAAACGCACAAGAGGGTAGACAGTGATGTCTCCCTCCCACTCCCATGTCACAGCCACCTAGCTCTCCTCCCTCAAGGAAAGCAAGGTTACCAGTCTATTGCATGTCCTTCCAGAGATATTTTATGACTATACCAGCAAATATATACAATAACATTTTAATATATTACTATTTACATTAATATATACATCACAACTTATTTTAAATATTAAAGACTTCCCTCTCAGATTAAAGTGCCACTTACATTTCTAAAAAGTGGCAGAAGTTACATCTTTTTTAATTTTAAAGAGTTCTGAAATTCACAGTTGAACTCTTTCACTCATAAAAATTTGCCAACATTTGAAAAGTTCAATTGTTTACCTCCAGAAATTAAGCTGGGCACCCAGAACACAGCAGATACTTAACAAATGTTTCCCTGGGTCTTTTTGTCCTTCATTACTCAGAGGCAACAGGGCAATTACTCACTTCCTCTATTTGATATCGAGAAATGAAATCTCGTTTCTTACCATGAAAAAAGAGAAGTCTTGAAAATCTGTACTTCACCCACTAAGTGTTCAAAGATTTTCACACTGAATTTATCAGAATCCCTATCCCGATAGTCTTCAGAAAACAATGAATGATTACCTAATCGAGTGACATTAGAATTCAGATTTGGGGGGGATTGAAACAGAAGAGAAATATCCCTCAGAGAAAGAAAGGTTTTCTCACAATTACAGGCAATCAACATTAAAATATTAATATTTGGCATAACCTAGGACATCACATATTGACGAACTAAATTTCTTAATACATTTCAAAGTAACACTAAAACCCAAAGACATAGAACGAAATTACATGGAAAGCTACGAGATGATGTTGCCTTTTTGAACAACCATCAATTAAAGCAGATTTCAGTAACAGTACACTGTATCATGGCCCCATGACTAAAAGATTGAGATGAGTTTTAAAAGTATATATCAGCGTAGGAAAATTCCACTGTTGTTTTTAAACCTTAAGATAAAGGTGACTAAGCTCCTAAGAACATGGAGTACCCCCAGAAAATATATTTTTAAATCCCCATTTATTTTCCATGCACTAGAGCATGTATTTATGAGCCTGTCAAATTTACCTTCTAAAAGTATTTTACATTGTAAGGGGCTATAAAATAAAAATATTTTCACGGCCATCTATATACACATAAAGGCAATCTTCATTTACGTTACGGCTCAGAGTCAAATGTCTGAAATGACCACGTACTTCAACTCCCCACTCTGCTATCTGCTTAGGAAATCTCCTAGCTTACCTGCAGCCCTGGTATCAGTCATTTGTCACGGACTGACACATGCCACAGAGCTCAAGAATGACTGGGTATTGAGGCCAAAGTCTGTGTTCACACCTGTAATTTGCAACAACCAAACTCAGTTTCAGACCTGGTCCTGTTTCAATTCAAGATCTGTTTAGGTCACTACATCTTTAAAACTAGAAGGCTCTTGAGCATTTCCTAACCTTGGTGGCCATGAGCCCAGGCTGTCAACAATCCATCAAGAGCCATGAGAAGTAAGGCCCAGAGCCAAAGGTAATTTTCACATTAAAGATTAAGGTATCTGCTTTCCATTCTCTATCAGGGAACCCTGAACGGAAACTGAGTGGAGAGATCTCTCCAGCATCAGTGATGAGGTAAAATGTTCCCTTTTGGGAACAGTCATGAAGTGGGCTCACTTATTTCACATTTGGATGTCAACCTGGGCCCTAACTCCACTGAATTAAATTCAGAAACAAAGTACTCGGCTCCAGTTTGGAGTCATGGTGGGAAGCAGGGGTCAAAGAGCCTTGGTGGGGGAGGGGAGAGTGTTGATTCAGATTATGGCTAACTGACATCCATGTAATCACAAGATTTGTGCTGACCACGGTGCATGTAACACATGTGTATCATTAAATCCAGAAAAGGATGGTGGCATCAGCCCATCCTTCACAACGAAAGAAGGCTGACTCTAGAATTAAAACCACTACGTTTCCTCTTCATGCACTCATAAATCTATCTCCAAAGTCGCGTCCATGTTATGATCTGAGGAATACAAAAGCTCCTCTTCGCTCAGAGATGGAAGTAACTGGGTGAATCTTCCCACCTGGACCCAAGGGTGGGAGGCGTGCCCTTCTCCACGACTAGGCCCGACTCGGCAGCGCTCCACTACGGGCCCTGGACCATGCTCACCTTTCACAGCGCTTCAGGCTCCGACTTTATTAACAAAGAGACCTGAGAACACAGATCTCAGAAGTGGGTACCCACGGAGGTTGACCATGGATGTGACATCCACCAGGCCCCGCCAGCCCATCCCCAAGCGAAGAAACCCTCAGCCCTCGCCCCCAACCTCGCTGTGGCCTGCCTTCTGGGGTGGCGCAGTCCCCTAGGAAGTCACCCACCTCCCGCCACGGTGCACACACTCTGTTGAGCTGAACAGGGGCGGGGAAGCCGGGGGCGCGATGGGGGGCGAAACGGAGACAGAAGCGGGCCACCTCCGTGCCTTTCATTTTCCCGGTTCCCCAATAAAGAAACATCGAAATGGGGTGGAATTCTTTTTAACGGTAATAGAAAGGCAGAAAATGCAGACAGTTGACCTTGGGAACCAACAGCGTCGCAGCGGGAAACGGAAAAGAAACACGTTGGCAATCGAAGGAGGAGCAGGGCGCAGCGCAGGGGCAGCGCAGCGGCCGGGCCGCCCGAGGGGAGCGGGGCGGGGCGGGGGCGCGGGCGGGAGGCGCTCACCGTAGATCATGGCCAGCCCGGTCTCGTGCAGGAAGCGCACCCGGCGGTGCTTGAAGAGCCAGATGGTGAGGATGGTGAGCGTGAGCAGCAGGATGAAGGTGAGCAGGCTCACGCTGTCTTGCCGGTGGCTCTCCTCCGCCTCCTTCTCGGTGGCGAGCTCCTCCATGGCGCTGCTGTCCTCGGCCGCCGCCCCAGAGGAGGAGGCCGCGGCCGCCGTTCGCAGCCCCCGACCCAGCAGCAGCGGCAGCAGCGGCAGCAGCAGCAGCCGCGGTGGCAGCGCGCGGGCCGCGCGCCCCGGGCCGAGGCGCGCCGCGTCACCAGGCTCCATGGCCCCAGGGCCGCCCGCGCCTCCGCAGCGCGGGGACCAGTCGCCCGCGCCGTCGGCGGGTTCCCGCGGCGCCGCCAACCTGCCCAAGTGGCCGCGGCCGCCGCAGCTCCTCCCCCGCTCGCGCCGGGGCGGGGGCTGCGCGGGCCTCGGGGGCGGGGCGCGTGCCGTGCGCAGGATCCCCAAGCACCGCCCCCCGCCCGCGCACCTGTTCGCCCCGGCGCCCGAGCGTGCGCCGCAGCCGCCCGCGACTCGCCCGCTCCTGGCCTACCTGGCCAGGCCGTCTGGGGTCCCGGGGCCGGTTGCTGGGCAGCCGCCGCCTGGCTTGCTGAACGGGACGCCAGAGGTCGCCCGCGCCTGGCAGGAGCATCAGCTTGGATTGGCGCGCGGTGCCGTCTGAAGTCCTGTCTCTGGGGCCACCGGGAAGTGTTTGATCTCAGACCAGTGTGTAGCGGCCCTAGGCCCAGGGAAATGGGGGCTCTGGGGGAAGCGAGGAGCCGCGAAGCCACCTTACTCCCTACACCTCTCTTTCCACATCCCTCACAGCATCTTCCAGCTCTCAGGGCTTCCCAGAATCTGCCAGGCTTCATTCAAACCTCTGCTCTAGTCTGACCCAAAAAGAGGACCGATAAGGGGTTGGAATGAGGGGAGAAGGTTAAAATAGCTCCTTTACCGCTTGGAGAATGGACTGACTTCTTATTCTGGGCTGTGTGACTAACCTTGGGGAAGAACCAGAAGGAACTGAAGACTTGCCATTCCAGGTAGATGAGCACCAGGTGGTCCTGGGGATGGGTAACCCTGGTGGCCCTTTTATGTTGACCTTCTGGTAGGCCAGGGAATCAAGAATCTTTGAAGGATTCTTAGGACCAGGCCCAGCTCTGGAAAAAAAAATTATAAAGTGGACTCTGGAGGATAAAGCCCCTTGAAACAAATCCTCAGGGACTAGAATTTTCAACTAACCTTGTTCTTCTGGTCAAGGAAGAAAAGAGAGATCAAATTATTAATCGCTGACTTCCCAGTGCCTAGCATTGTGCTCATAAGTGTTTATTGAGCCACTCCGAAATCCGTACCAACTGTCTGTGTTTTCTCTCCCAGAAGAGTTTGCCTTTTTAAGAGGATCCATTGAAGGAAGCAATGCTTCTCTAAAAGGAGTGATAGTAGGGTATAGATGGCATTAGGTAGGAAAGATATTCGGAGCACTGCAGCCTTCCTTGTTCCCGTCTGGGTGAACACTCGGCCAAGCCTGCTTAGTACTTCTTTACAGGCGAATGTCTTCATCTGGATTTTAACTACCGTCTTTCCCTATTTCTCTAGACTGTTGTCTCTCAGCCCCTGCAAAAATACCTTGACGTTCCAGGCAGGTTCCTAATGAAATTGCAAACACCAAAAACTTGATTAACCACAGAGAAAGTTATACAACAACGGGAAGACTTGATCTACTTTCTGGGGACGCACTAAAATCCATGTTTGCTGGAAACTGGCCATATTGACCACTATATTTAATATTATACCCTCTTGGGTTCCCAAAAGTCAAAGACAGAACTTCCGTCTATAGCTCACACTGAGGACAACTCAGGAGCTACCTTAAAAGGACAGACTTCTTAGTACGTGTGGCAGATTTCCAAAAATGCCCACAACCATATTTCCAACTCCACATGCTCTTCTAGACCTTACCACATCCCTATCAAGAGGTAGCATCTATGTTCCCTCCCCCTTGAACCTTCGTGGACCCTTGTGACTGCCTCAAAGAGTAGAATGTGGCAATGGAGATTGCGCGACTTTTGAAGCTAGGTCATAAAGGCAATCTAGTTCCTGCCTGGCTCTTTCTCTTGCTCTTGCTCTCCACTCACTTTGGAGCCCTGAACTTCCGTGTAAGAAATCTAGACCACATGAGATACTACGTCACACCAGTTTGAATGGCCATATCAAAAAGACAAGAGAGAACAAACGCTGGCAAGGATGTGGAGAAAAGGGAACCCTTGTGCACTGTTGGTGGGAATGTAAATTGGTACAACCACTATGGAAAACAGTATGGAGGTTCCTCAAAAAACTAAAATTAGAACTACCCTATGATCCAGCAGTTCCACTTCTGGATATATATTCAAAGGAAATGAAAATAGGATATTAAGAGATATCTGCACTCCTGTGTTTATTGCAGCCTTATTCACAATAACCAAGATATGGAAACAATTTAAGTGCCTGTCAACGGATGAATGGAAAAAGAAGATGTGACTTTAGATACACACACACACACACACACACACACACACACACACACAGAGGAATATTTTTAAACCATGAGAAAGAAAGAAATCCTGCCATTTGCAACAACATGGATGGACCTTGAGGGCATTAAGCTAAGTGAAATAAGTCAGACAGAAAAAGACAGGTACTGCATGATCTCACTAATACGTGGGATCTAAAAAAGCTCAACTTGTAGAAACAGACTAGAATGGTGGTTACCAGGGGCTTGGGGGTGAGGAAATGGGAATATGTTGGTCAAAGAGTACAAACTTCCAGTTATTAGATAAATAAGTTCTGGGGACCTAATGCACAGCATTGTGATTATAGACAAAAATATTGTACTATACACTTGAAAGTTGCTGAGACAGTAAGTCTTAAGTGTTCTCACTACAAAAAAAGAAATGGTAATTATGTGACATGATGGAGATGTTAGCTAACACTACAATGGTCATCATATTGCAATATATAAGTGTATCAAATTGATGCATTGTACACCTTAAAGTTACACAATGTTATAATGTGTCAAGTATATCTCAAAAAAGCTAGAAAAATTTTTAAAAAGAAATCTAGCTACCTTGAAGCTGCCATGCTAGAGAAACCACGTAGAGACCACGTAGCAATAGAGACAGAAACCACAGGAGCCCCAGCATTTTCAATGTTCCCAACTCAAATGCCTTACACATGAATGAGCGGGCCTTCAAATTATTTCATTCACAGCCACCATCTTACTGTAAACATATGAGGGACCCCCAAGGAAGAACCACCTAGCTGAGACTAATCAATGCCTGAAACTGTGAGATAATAATAAAATGATTGATTTTTTAAGCTACTAAGTTTGAGGGTGATTTCTCCCATACCAATAGATAACCAGAAGAGTATTTATAGTATAAAGTAGTTGCCTCAGGTAGAGTATGAAAATACTAGTCCCAACTATTCACAAATATACACCAAAGAAAACACTCCGTTATCTATGTATCTTTATATATGGAAACTAACCTATACAATACAGGGGTTCTGATTCCAGTTAATGCAGAATAATCACACTCAACTCATTCTTTCCCACTGAATGCAACTATAAAACCTGAACAGAATGCATGGATCAACTATTGAGGACTCTAAAAAATAAATTGTACCAAGTAAAGAGGAAGAGCACCAGAATTTGAAGTAAAAATGGACTGGCAGTGAATTTACCATTTTTTCCCTCCAGTATCCACTGGACTGGACTCAAGGCAACCCAAAACCCAGAAGAGGGCATGGACGTGGACAGAGAGAGCACCAAGAGGAGCAAGAAATAGATCTCCTAGTGTTCAGAGGAAGTAGGGAAGTACGCCATTTTTCTTTTCTGCATTCCCTCACACAGTAGCCAATAGACAATCCCCCTGTGACAGCTGAGTCAACAGTGACAATGGAGGGAGCAGTGTTCTCAAGTGCCTAAAATGTTGAGACAGGGGGAAACTTTCCTCTCTGGTTGGAACAGCTATGATCCCAAGATAGTGGAGGCAAACACCCACTGATATATTTTTGTCTCTCTCTGTCCGCCTGCTGCTTGGCCTCAGTTATGTGCAAATTTGCAGGAAGTACATGGCAGAGAGGAGTAAATAAAGACTCATATTTCTTGCTAAAAGATTGAAAAGGGGGAAGTCCAAGGAGCTGCAAAGTACCAAGGTGGTTGTGGAGAGAGAGGAGCTCAGGAAAATAACCCTATAAAGTTATTTATGAATTCCTAGGTTCACCATGACCAGTGTGTGGATCTGATCCTGAACAGTATACCAAAGACTGTGATAACTGAACTAAGAAACAGATCACCACCCAGATCTCAAGCTAACCGCTGGATAAAACACATGTGGGACAGCTCTGAATAGCACTTCAAAAGTTCTTAAAACTGGATTGACTTTGGAGCCATGATCCACAAAAGACAGGTCAGAACTTGTAATCTGAACCCAACCATGGTGACTACAAGCTAAGACAAAAATATAAATATCCCTCCATAGAGTTAAAACAAGATCCCATAATATGATATTTAAAATGTCCAGAGCCAGCCCTGATGACCTAGTGGTTAAAGTTTGGCATGCTCTGCTTCGGTGGCCTGGTTCAGTTCCCGGGTGCAGAACCACACTACTCTTCTGTCAGTAGCCATGCTGTGGTGGCAGCTCACACAGAAGAACTAGAAGGACTTGCAACTAAAATATACAACTATGTACTGGGGGCTTTGGGGAGAAAAAAAAGAGGAAGATTGACAACAGATGTTAGCTCAGGGCAAATCTTTCCCAACCAGAAATAAGTAAATAAATAAATAAAAAGTCCAGTTAATGGAGTAACTATCAGGATCATTTACTTTTTAAAAAATGTCCAAGATGCAACCAAAATTACTCAGCTTATGAAGAACCATGAAAATCTCAAGTGGGAAAAGGCGATCAATAGACAACAATACTGAGATGACACATAACACAGATGTTGGAATTATTTTTAAAAAGACTTTAGAGCAGGTATTATTAAAATGCTTCAACAAATAAGAGCATGAAAGATAGTCTCAGCAAAGGAGCAAAAGATAACGAAGAACCAAATTGAAATTTTATAAATGAAAAATACAATAACTGAAATTTTAGAAGTGACCGAATAGGCTCAATAGCAGAATGAAGATGAAAGAGTCAGTAAATTTGAAGATAGAGCAACAGAAGTTATCTAATCTGAACAGTAGAGAGTAAAAATTGAGCAATAAATGACCATTGCCACAAGACCTGTAGGATAATAACAAAAGGTCTAAGATTCATGTATGTGGAGTCCCAGGACAGGAGAAAGAGTGTGATGCAGAAAAAATATATGAAGCTATAATAACTGAAAACATTCCAAGCTTAGC